TACGAAAGTTGTTCTCATTGGCAGTTATCACATTCCTTTTAATATCACATACAACTTTAGACATAGAGCCTGACGGGCTGTTCATTGATTTCAAAGCACTTTGAGAGTCACAGAATATCACCCCACCTCCATTTTCTTTGAGGTAGTCTGTGGCTAAGTAGATTCCAGTTAGTTCAGTTTGTGCTGTGCTGGCCCAGTTGTTCAGCCTTTGTTTGTTTGACACTATCATCTCTTTTTCTTTATATATTACAATTGCACAGCCTGTTCTACCTGTGTTTGTCTGCACAGAACCATCAGTAAAAGCATAACATTCGCTTGATTTAATACTCTCTATGTGTCTGTTAATAGTTTCTAGTGTGACACAACTCACCACATCGGTGTTTAACATTTGCTTACTACCAACAGGAGTGTAATTAATAGGAACTGATATATCCAGCCAAGGAGCAATGGCATTAATAGGTTCGTCTGGGGTGATTGGGACATTCAGTTTCAAGAGATCTGCAACACTTTTATGGAAGGTTGGCGAGATGGTCGGGATTACTTAGATAGAACATCAACTCAGTTTGAGCTGTAGTTTGAGAACCATTGTTCTTCAAAACTTTGACCAAAACATGGTATTAAGTAGAGCTATCCTCTCAGATAGGGAGGGCAGTCCGACCTCTTTCCTCATGTTTACAATTCTGGTTGATTTTAGGCAACCTAAGATGATGCACATGGCTTCATTTTGCACTACCTCAAGGCTGTTGAGTTGTTTAGGCGGAATAGTCACAAGATGGAGAGCATGATAGTCAACTACAGAACGAATGAAGTGAAGATAGAAAGTACGAGCATAGGTGATGTTAATTCCATAGCCCTTGCCAACAAGGGTTCTGAGGGGTTTAATGTGCTGCATTAGTTTGTCACGAAGGTTTCTGACAAAGTTTGCATCATTCACAGAAATTCCAAGATATTTATAGGAGCTATATGTTCCAAGGGCATGCTGTTAATGTTATAGTCAAGTGGCAGAGGGTGAGCAGGACGAGGATTGAGGACCCTCGTCTTGTCAACAGATATTTGAGACCACATTCAACAGTTCTCCGAGCAAATACATCCAGCAAGGCTTGGAGCCTGAGTTTGGTTTGTGTCATAATGCAGATATCATCAGCATAGCATATTACGGCTTCGTTTGGCTGAACTGGAATGTCAGCAATAAGCTTGTGCATCAGTATATTAAAGAGCATAGGACTTAACACTCCTCCCTGAGGCGTGCCCAGCTCAAATTATCTCATTCTGGTACTTTTAACTCCCCTAAACAGAACACTGGCATACCTGGACAGATAACCCTTTATCCATGTCAGGAGGTAACCTTGGATGCCAAAATTAGCTAGTTGCCCAAGTATAATGTCTCTATTAGCTACATCAAAGGCTGATTTAAGGTCAATGAAGGCTGTTTGTGTCTTATCTTTTGAGTGAACAAGATATTCTGCAAAGCATGTCTGTGTGCTACGCCCGGGCATGAACCCGTACAGATTAGGGGCGAGTTTGTCTTTGACTTGAAACATGAGACTGTTTAGAACAACTCTTTCAAGGACTTTATACATACAGGATGTGAGTGAAATTGGCCTGAAGTTTGGAGAATTAGCTTTAGGGATTGGAACTATGTTTCCATGAGTCCATGTCTTAGGCAGAATACCCTGTGTGAGGCTCATTTGATACAGGTCAAGCAGTGGATGGTTAGGTATCTCATTCAACAATCTCAGGGTGATATAGGTTATGCCATCCTCACCAGGGGAGGATGACTCACCATTTATTAGTGCTGTTGTTAGTTCGTGGTGCGTTATAGGAAACTGGTCGGTAAGGTCTGGTGAGGAACAAGCTATTTCAATATTGAAACCCCTATTAATGTGTGTGGTGTTAAGATATTGTTGTATGTCAGGAGGCAGGGAAGTGATTTGTGACACACTAGACCATTGGTCTAATAGCATGTCAGCATATTCTGCAGGGCTGTGATGAAGCTTGACTGGGGTGGGTGACTTGGTAATGGCTCTAATTTTGTTCCACATTTCTGCTAGTGGTTGTTCTATTAATTCCCTGTAAGAATTGTTCCCAATAGGTGTTTCTCACCTGACCTTTGAGTTCACGAAATTGTCTGTTAACTTTGAGGAATGCCAAAAGGTTATCACTAGTTTTATTTTGCTTATAAGTGTTGGCAAGCTGTTTTACATTCTCTCCTTCTTTGGTGAGGATGGGGTCATGTGTCCACAGAGGTGGTTTAGTGCTGCCCCCCGTCCTCCTTGACTTAACCCAGGTGGTATAATATGTGGTAATGACATTTACAAGATCACAGCAAAATTCATTCACTGACCCAGGTGTATATCAAGCATACCATCTGTGGATGTAGGCCTTGAAGTGCAGTTTAAGATTATCTGGGATGTTAATTCTGAGCTTAGGAAGGGGTTCACATTTGACATCAGCAACAGTGTATTCAGTAAGTATTGCATAATGATCACTGACTAGGTGGTCTGAGATGACTTAGCCTTGACATTACTGTCTACTAGGTTATACCCAATCACATAATCAAGTCTGCCCCCCATCAGATGTCACTTTGTCTGTCGTATACAGTGATATTATGATTATTGATGTAATTCACGAACACCCTCCCATTAGAGTTACACTGGACATCACCGAGGACAGTGTGACGAGAGTTAAAGTCACCCATACACAGCATAGCATTGTTACCTGATGGCTTTGGTAACACGTCCGCTCGCAGTTCATTACACCGAACATACAGTAGATGTTATACAGCGAAAATTGACTGTTTGCTGTCTTTACTGTAAATTGTTGATAGTGAATACTTTCATCATTGTGAGTTTTAATCCATTTACAGACCAGACCATTCTTTACATAAGTGAGCAGGCCACTTCCTGCTCCACTATTATATGTTGTAAACCCAGCTATCCTGGGTGCAACTTTCTTCTGGGTGCTGGACGTGTAAGGTTCTTGTAAACCAATTACATCAATGTCAAAAACTTTAACAAACCATTGTAGATCATTAATTCTGCGATTAACACTCCGGATGTTCCATGAAATGAACCTAAGCGTTCGTGTTACTTTTCCCACCTTGAATTTAGCGTAGAGAGTCGCACGCTGGCTTCATAGATCAGCCTGACCAATAAGCTGACCATTCCAAGTTCTGTACCTCTGGATTTCCTGATAATGTTCTTCACAGCCCTTATTCCAGTAGGATTTCTATACGCGGGATCCTTCATCAGTCCCGCGAGTTCCTCCCCCGTAAACAATGGAAAACGTACATGAGAGAAGCAAGGAAACACTTGCTATCCATGCCAAGTTTGGTCCGGGCGGCTCATTTCCTAGGCCACGGTAGGACGCCACCCTCCGGGAAGCTCCACATTGTCTCACTGCTCACTCCCCAAAACTTCTTCTTCCATCAATATTTCATTAACTGTGTATGTAAGTTCCACTACAACGGTGCAGCAAAGTATACTTTTTCAGCATTAAACTGTTATTATTTTGTTGTCTAATCATTACTACGTATAACACCACCCATCATCACTACATATAACACCATCCATCATCACTACATATAACAACATCCATCATCACTACATATAACATCATTCATCATCACCACATATAACACCATCCATCATCACTACATATAACACCATCCATCATCACTACATATAATACCATCCATCATCACTACATATAACAACATCCATCATCACTACATATAACATCATTCATCATCACCACATATAACACCATCCATCATCACCACATATAACACCATCTATCATCACTACTGATCGGTAAAGTATTTTCCGAGATTCTCTTGCGGACACACACACCGCACACAAACAAACAGACAACGTCTTTGTTTTATATAGATAGATAGATAGCAGAATCGCCACCCTCCGGGCGGCTCATCCGCTAGGCAACGGTAGGACGCCACCCTCTGGGAGGCTCTGCATTGTCTCACTGTTCAGTCCCCAAAATTTCTTCTTCCATCAATAGTTCATTAACGGTGTATGTAAGTTCCACCATGTTTTTCACTACAACGGTACAGCAAAGTATATTATTTTAGCATTAAACTGTTATTATTTTATTGTCTAATCATTACTAAATATAACACCACCCATCATCACTACACATAACATCATCCCTCATCACTACATATAACACCATCCATCATCACTACATATAACACCATCCATCATCACTACATATAACACCATCCATCATCACTACATATAACACCACCCATCATCACTACATATAACAATATAAACTTTTATACACAGTATGTTTTACTTTGTGAGAAGGCCCGGTTTGGGGGTAAATACACACGTCCTGACACAACAGACTTGGGCAAACGTCAGTGCATCTCTCACCCTGACTATGAAGTCGTATCAAGTTATTATATATTGTTATAATTTTCACTCTGACAAAGAATCCCAAATATTTCTAAATTTTCTAATAAACCCTTGCCGGCTCATTAATATGGCTCCCGCATACTACGGGTTAGGGACTACTGACGTAGACCAACGCCAGCTCAGTAACGCCCAACATATTTCACAGTTCATCAGTCATAACCACAACATAGACGCTTGCCGTCAACATAATACACATACAATGCTCTAGGTTAGGTTAGGTTAGGTTAGGGTTCGGAGCGTCAGCAAGGGATGTTGGATATCCCAGGTGAAAGCTTTTCAGCTTTTGTGATGACGTAAATGAACTTGGTCGCCTCTACTACAAGGGGAGTTACCGTCTCCTCTCCCGATTACACCACTTATTGCAATTGTAAAAACCCTTTTAAAAGCACCATAGAATCCGATATCATATTTTTAGATATTTTAGGCCGAATGGTTTATTTAGTGAATGTTACCAGAAATACATATGTAAAGAATAGAATTTCTGAGGGTGTTATACTTATATAGAAAGAAACATCTGGCAGCTGCATTGAACCGCTGCTATATAAACTCCGGTAGTGCCGCAGTCGGAACATTAGACGAGAGTTACACTCACTTAGGTACACATGATAGGTACCGTCGTGAGCTCAAGACACGTTTATCATCTTTTAGGAATTTTTCTACACTGGATATCTACACCAAAGTAAGTTTCGTGTATATTGTGGTTGGTTTCACCATCAAGCACACCATCAGCGTCTTCCCCATTTTTGTACTTTTTATATTTGCCTGAAAACAAAGACAATTATGTTAATACCCGAACTATCAGATATTTGAATTTACATATAAACAGTTGTCTCTAAGCATTGCAACTAGACATCATTCTTTTTATTAATTCAGTAATCAACGATACTCAAAAAAAGAAATCCGATCTCTTGTTTCTGACTCTTACCGAAACTCGTCCTAATTGACCGACCATCTTATATAGCGGATTTAAAACAAGGTAAAACAACCCGAAGTTGTAGTTTTCCGGGATTTATAACTAAGTATATTAAGATGAAAATATATTATGGTACAAGTCTCAGGTGTCAGAGTATTAAACATGTGTGTCTTGCAGTGTCAGAGTAGTAAACATGTGTGTCTTGAAGTGTCAGAGTGTTAAACATGTGTTTCTTACAGTATCAGAGTATTAAACAAGTGTTTCTTACAGTGTCAGAGTATTTAGCATGTGTGATTTGAAGTGTCAGGATATTAAACATGTGTTTCTTACAGTGTCAGAGTATTAAACATGTGCGTCTTGAAGTGTCAGAGTGTTAAACATGTGTTTCTTACAGTATCAGAGTATTAAACAAGTGTTTCTTACAGTGTCAGAGTATTTAGCATGTGTGATTTGAAGTGTCAGGATATTAAACATGTGTGTCTTGCAGGTATGTTATCGCAGTCCTGAAGCTCAACAAAAGGGGTCTACAAACCACAGTGAAACACAGCAGCGGGGATATTGTCACATGTTTAGGTAATTGACTCATTCCTCAGTGTTTCGAACTGGTCCAGTGAGACTGAACCAGCTAAATAAGACTTAAATAATCAAGGAAGATTGAGGTTCCAACTTATTTATGTAACCAAAAATATGCATTTTATGGTTCAAATATATACACTGAAAGTAATAAACAGAGAGTAAGAAGAGAGAAGCAGACTGAATGATAATATTTTTTCCTTCCACTTTCCCTAACAGGTAGTGCGGGTCCAGCTCTCTGGCATTTACAGTGTCAGATGATGTTGGTTTTAGGGATCAACAAATCGTTGCCTCGGGGACTAACCAACGCCCATCCTGGCCAATATCGATGCCGGGATGTAGCTACGACGCAGCATCATTTCTCTGGTAACATTTCGCGGACAAGTTGGACAGACTCCTCGAGGTAAGACAGGCTCTGCCTTGTGGTTCTAGTCAAAATCGCGAAATGTTAGCTATACTTTATCTGTAATTCTTATTAGGTTTCACGGAGTAAAGTTTTTGCTTAAAATTTCGTATAATTCATTCTCATTACCTTTCTTTTGCACCCATTTTTTTTCCGTTTCTTTTAATTTGTTGTATCATTATCTTCTTGGCCTATACTAACACTACTTCACCACCAATATATTTAATATTTATTTACCATTGAATAATCGATTCCAAATTATTCCTCTCTGTCTTTTCATTTATTTTCTTCTCACATATGCAATCCTTCGCCCCTAGATCTTTGGTACCCACTTTCTCCTTCACCTATCTTTTTCTTTATACAAGCAACTAGGCAAAATATACACTGTCCTTGTCTTGTTATGTTGATGGAACTGACCTCCTCTTTCTTCTCGTCAGCCCATCATCGAGGAACATCAAGTCTGATCTGTTCGACTTCCGGACCAGGAAGAAGCGGTCCTGTCGGGAGCTGACGCATCAGGTCCCGGGATAGCGGCTTGTGCAACCTCGACCCGTAAACAGAAATCCAAGATGTGACTCTGGATAGCAGGTGTGTGGGGAGCGGACCAGTAGACCTGAACCTGCATGATGAGCTCCTACAGGATACGTAGGATTGTGGGTCCTTGTTTTAACGAACGAAACACCGACCTGACTACATATCCAAAATGTGACATTGGATAACAGGCCCTTGGACAACGGACGATAACACCTGGACCTTCCATACAGTGCCAAGTAAACCACTCTCCTACAAGAGGCGACCTTCGACGACAGCTTCGAGTGGAGTGGACGACCTCACTGGGACCTACATGAGGGGCCGAGATGAGACTTCGGCTCCTGGTTCTGGCAGAACGGACGTTACACCCGGAGTCGTCATAGAAGATCCCATGATAACACCCGGGAGGGAACCTAAACACCCTGGCACACGTCTGGTCCTGGTATATCGGATGATCAAACTTGATGACGTCCAGGATAGATGAGCTATATCTCCAACATGAAGGAGGATGTCTA